CTTGAGTGACTCTCAGGCTTTGTGCAGGGTGAACTTTTGATCTTTTTTCTTAGTTTATTTTACTGTTTTTGGATAAGTTTTCCTGATTTTTATCATTAGTAAATTGTTTCTCCTTTTGTTTTCTCTTTGAGTTTTCTTTTCATCACCTTACAGGCTTTCTGCTGGTTGTACCAACAGTTTTGATTCTGCGTATATATATTTATATATATATATATATATATATATATATATATATAAATATAGATAACTAGACTTGTTTCGAAAAACCCTCGAATTTTGATTTGCTAATCAAATCAATCTCGAGGGAAAAAAGGTTTTAAAAAAGAAAGAGCTACAAACATGGACTTCTGCTGACAAAAAAAATTGCACAGATGCAGGTCTGAAGCCCAAAAAGAAAAAAAACCGATCTGAGTAACAACTAACTAACAAAATAGCTCAATACAACTGTCTGGCTCACTAAGTGTATCTATATATATATATATATATATATATATATATATATATATATATATATATATTAGATTAAAACAAAAACATGGTCCAAATATGTGCTTCTTATAATATGTAGATTTAATTGACCAGTTAATAAAATTTGTAGAATAAAAAGACAACAAAATTATAACAATATTGGTAATCAAATTGATATTTATTATATATCAAAATTTTGACTCAATTGAAGCATGAAGAGGAAGATTTTAAAGTCAGAATTTTCAAACACGCCTGTGTTCTTTTTCAATGATACATGAAATAAACAAAGTGGGACTTACTCTTCCGGGGAATGTTGTTGTTGGTTAGACGTCTCCCTGTGGAAATTATACTCTCTTCAATTTTGTCAAAAGGTTAATATATAATAAATATCAATTTTATTGCCAATATTGGTATCATTCTGTTTTTTTTTTTTTATTTTTTATATTTTATTAATCAGCCTATTAAATATACATATCATAAGAAGCACACACATCAACATCTTCATTAAATCATTATTTTCTCTTTGGGTTACATGTGATATCCATTTTAATTGTTGCTACTATTGAAAGTCCTCAACTGATGTAGTTTCTGTTATTTGGCATAGTTCTTTATGATTTTGTAGCACCAGTCCACAATGTTTGAAGAATGGTCTTTATTGAGTCCCACAGCAATCATTTGCTTGAAACCATTTTTAATTTACTTTAAGATTTACTGTCTTCTATTAGTTGATTTGCTTTAGATCTAGTATGGAATACTTAAATGAAACCATTTTTAACCATTGATCTGAGAAAGCAGTTTTATGCAGCTGACAGTTTAGATATTTCTGAACAGATCTGGCGCTATCTTAGACATCCATATGAAAGTCTTGATCTGACAAAGGTATTTAAGAACATGACTTGAGTTTTTGGCTAAATTACATCTAAGTGCAGTTTAGGTTTATCTTGAGATCTATTTCTTGGAACTCTTGGTGGAGGATGTTGATTTTTTGTTATTCTTATCCCAGCTATGAATACTTTTATCATCAGCATATCCGTACTCTCATCATCAGTACATTGGCCTCGGGAGGGAAAACAAGATTTGCTGTCTTCTATTAGTTGATTTGTTTGGGATATATTATGGAATGCTTAAATGATTAGTGCCCATCTCTTAATATCTGTGCTTGTATATGTATACAACAGAGCCTAGAAAAAGATTAAATAGACTGAGGTTCTCATTTCTTCCTTGTCATACTCCTGATAAGGTTTGAAATGTTTCCAGATATATAAGATTTTATGGATTGCTTAAGTACCTCTATTAGATCAATGCATTTAGTGGATTTAAAACTTAGTGGTTTCTATTGAATAAAAAGACTAAGTCTTTATTGATGTGGTCATATGCTGCTGTGAGGTCCACATAGCAGATATACAATTTCCTCTTAGAGTGGTATGCAATTTTCTAGAGTTGTTTGATGAAAAATATGCTATCAATATGTTCTTTACGAGATTCATGGAAGATTGAAGTTTATAAGCAGTAAATTCGACCTTGCCTACTGAACGCTCCTTTGTGGCCGAGTCGGTTAAGGCACGTCAGCGTAAATGACGGTTCTGTATAGGATGCAGGTTTGAATCCTGTTAAAGGACGAATATTTTCTATGAAAATTTCTCGGACATTCAAGCTGGTAAATGTTATTTAATACTGTTTATTATAAACAGAGCATTTACTTAAATACTTGTATCTATAAAAAGAATGTTAAACATAAAAATATCTTTAATAAACAATATATGTAAGGGAAATTAACAGTAATACATCAAAGCAACAGTAATATGGCAAAAAGTTCACAAACTAAGAGTTGGGGTTGATACACAAGAGCAAATTCGGACAAATGAACATAGTATTCTGACAACACAGACCAGGACTGAAACTGAGAATTGGCCTATCTTATTGGCTAGGAAGAAATCCCAGCATGCATTTGTATACTTCTTCCTATAAATTGGGGAGGGGTAAATGTTTTGCAGTCATTCCATATACAACTGGAACTAACAAGATTGACCTT